CACAAAAGTGCATTTGCACTAAAAACACAATGGTGACAAAGGTCTCATGAAATCCCTTGGGCACCATTGTATACATGGCATAATTTGTACAAGTTCTTGTTCTGTAATTCCAAAAATGCATCATCTCTCTCTACACTACGTTCCCCCAAACTTTCCTCCCTACAGAAAAACAAAACGCAGTGTTTAGCTTCCGAAGCAGAGATTTAGACTTCTTTCCTGTACGTGCAACATACTGCTTATCCCAGAACATTTTGTGCTTGCCAGGAACCACAAAGGATGCACACACTACAATACCTGCATGGAAGCAAATGCATGATTAAGCATATTTGCCGAGGGCAACAATTTCCATGCTGTTGCCTCCAAGTCCTCATCTTACAGGAAATCCAGTAAAACCGTTTCAACTTTTAGACCCCTGCTCCTAACACCCGAGATTGAGCAAACTTGAGACCAACCACAAGAATACTGAGCAAAACCAAAGTCACTCATGCAGGAACACCAGGCGGGGAGTTGAGTCTAGGGATGCACACACCCGAGTGGCTGGAAGAAAAACTGTCATAACCCAGCCCATCTCACCCTGCTATGACAAGGAGCAGTTCAAAATGCATATTTTAGGCACAGGAATAGAAGCAAGTGTCCTAATTACCTCTTCTCTAAACCTTTCCCTCTTGCTACAGGGAAGCCAAAGAGAACAGTATCAGGAAGAAATGATACACAGATTAGAAAGTTTCCATTGCACACCCTGCAACAAAGATACTCCTGCATCTGCAAGTCGGCAGGTATAAAAATTTGATTTTTTTTTTTTTTGAAGTCAAATTTTACTTCAAAAATCACGTTTTCCTAGCACATTCATGAAGACACATATTGCCATACTCCACATTTAACGGAAAGGTGGACCTCATTTGTAGTTCATATATGCTAAAAATATATTTATTTATTCTCTCCCTTTTCAGAGATAAGCATAGTACAGAAGAGTTCATAATCAAGGTGCTCTCCACACTCAAGTCTACATTTCCAGACAAGTTGGTCCCCAGGCAGCGTGCTGTCAGATCAGAACACAAAGTTTCAGGCTGAGCGGTCACCCAGTAACACATGTAATGTCTATAGTCTGTTCATAATTTTCTCATCCCGTGTGTCTGAAGCACACACTAGATACAACAGTTGCTATTATCTCTCTTTTAAAAACTAAGTGCTTGAAACAGAGTTCAAACTATATTTATTCCAGAAGCACCTCAGTAAGAATACTAAACTACCGAACGCACTAGAACGCGAGCGTTCTTAACATGTATTGGAAGAATTCTCACCAGAATCTTGAGTTCTCTTCAGTTTAACAGTTTATTGTTGGCCAAGCCTGTGCGTCTTTGAGTTGCCACAATGAATAACTCTTGCTGTGGCACCAGGGAACAGAGGGAAGCAGCACAGCTAAAGTTTTTAAGAACAAATGGAGTAAGAGACCTCTACATAGTACAGATGTCTTCGCAAGCTTTCTGCAACACTACAAGAAGATCTTTTTATTCAAATAGCTACGTGACCAGTTTGTCAGATCCTCTGTTTTAACACATCAATTTCAATTTTTGCTTATAGATGGAAACAGAGGCTTTTAACCAGCTCTAGAACATAGCACCAAGACCAAATAATAAAAACAGATCTAGCAGATATGCACTCCTGTGCAGTAAGTTGAGAAAACCCTAGAAAAAAAGTAATTCTAAACTCTCAGTTGCTTCACTTTCTTCAGAAATGCCAATAAAAACACACTGTTCTATGTGCAAATGGTCAGACAAGCTACTTCACAATATGCTTTTGCTACTCAAAGTAGCAAAGTAGAAGTTCTAATGTTTAATAGTCCCACCTACCCTCCTCCTCTCTGAGGAGGAAAGCTCTCTCCCAAAGCCAAAACCCACTCCCTTGAATTCAGAGTCCAGGTTCAGCAACTTCATTGTTACTTCAACCACAAACTTCACACAGGAAGAACACTAGTTATAAGCAGACAGATCACCAAACCATTCAGACCTTACGAACACAGGATCGTAAGGATTCAGACCTTACGAGCAGGCAGTCAACTTTTCTACAGCCATACCAACTATTTCGTGTGCAGTTACAATTCTAAGCTTATTAATTACAAGAAACCAAGAAGAATTTGAGTACATAACCTCTGAGCAAAATGGTTCTCTATCAGTTTAATCAACAGCTCGTCCCACTTTATAACATCAGCAAGCTAAACATACTGTATGATACATCCATATCTTCCATATTTCCATCACATAGATACACTCAGACAAATAACCCATAGGAAGTTCACTGACAACATAACCTACTCACCTCATCATCACTGTCTGACGTCTCAGAGTCTGAAGATGCTGTAGGCTTGCTCACAGGTGGCTCCTTTTCTTCAGAGTCGCTGCGTTTCCGTTTGGCCAATGACAAGAGCTCCTGGTGTGAAAAAAACATGTTTGTTTTAAAACATCGCTATTAGTTTTACCATTTCAGGTCAACGCATACGTACCTTCTCTGTGATATTTGAGCACATCCCAGTAACACAATTATCCCTACCACCTAGAGAACAAAGTCTACCATGTTTCATAAATACATACACAAAACTCTGCGTAATACACCTGAATATTATGAAAGGATTTTTAAAACTACAAGCCATAAAGAGAAAATGCTACTGCCATCTCTTTCTTGATATAAAGAAGATACAACAAATTACTTCCAGGTCTTTGGTATTTATATACCACATTATTAGACGATAATTAAAAAGAAAACTACATAGTGTAGCACTAACCCAAAAAGCCAAATGCCACTAAGGAGTCTAGTACAATAAATACTTGATCAGTTCCTTTCTTTGTTTCAGAAGACATTTGCAACTATACACTTACAAAGGAAATACTTTGAGTGTCACCAAGATATCATGGCTGATGTATTTAGTAAGACCATTCAATTCCTTTTCACCATTCCTACTTGCCACAGAACGCACTTAAAGCTTTGGACAGACACAGAGCAGGCACCAAGCTCAAAGGCTGTAAAAACTAAGTAGAGCTGTTCTCTAGGGGAATCACCCTCAAAGGCAACACAGGCCAGCAGAAAGAGCTAAATGGCTTGCAAATAGTCTCATCATCTGCTGTTCACAGCTTGTTCAGATGACAGAGGGAGGCAGTAGTTTAAAGCAATCATTTCTGAAGCTGCATTACTGTCTTCGTAATCCACGACAAATAATTTAGTCTTAAAAACATTGCTTTGGGGCTGATGAATCTTAACTGTGAGGAGAAATAGAGCCACACCAACTTCTGCAGTCTTGGGAAAACAATACTGGATTGGTCTGCATTAGTTTCAAAACTGGAAGATTATCTCCACAGCAGAGGGATTTGAATTTAGTACCTCAAATGAGAACATAAACATTGCAGAAACTGATGGCCTAAGCTACTTACCAACAAAGAAATCTTCAGTTATTAATGGCACTTTACAAACCGTTTTCTGAAGACGGCATGCAACATCAACAGAACAACAAATGGCTCTCCTTAGGAACTTCCTGATGTTTTCTATAATAACTTTCTGAAATTCCCCTCTCACAAGTGTCTTCAAGTATACTTGAACCCAGATTACCTTCCTGCATGATACCTCAGTGTCAATATTTACTGCTTTTATTACAAGCAAATTGCCTTGTTTCTTTCTACCCTCATTTTTTCTCTTTTCCAACATACTACATGAGAAAGGCTCCTGCTCCTTTAGATTCAACCCACTCAGGTCACTTAGGGAAGCTGTCAAACATTTAACCTACAAGGGCCTCACTCAGCATGCTCTCCTCCTGAAATCACACGGCAAGAACATCACTGCTCTGCTACCCAGCCTTCATCCTTGCACATACGTCTGTTATAGTGGCTACAAACAACCCCAAACAACTCAGGTAGGGTAGCAGATGCATGCTTCCAGCATGTAACAGAACAGATGCAGAACCACGCAGCTATTCCACCACCACTCTGGGGCCAGCTCAGCTCCTCGTGTTTTCAGACCAAACACAAGCATGGCAGGAAGGTGGCAACCCTGGAGGGACGCAAGGGGCACGCTCTGCTGTGTGTATTTCTGTATTGGTTTAACGGAGTGTACAGCTTGAGTTTTCTCAGGCTCTAAGTTGCAAAAACCTTTTGGAGTGCTTGTGGGTGGCTTTTTGCTTTTACTTTTCCGCAACACAGCACCAGCTCCTCCACCGCACGCCCCGCATTACACCCCCCGAGCCGTGCGGGCACAGTTACCCAGACAAACTTCTGCACAGCCCGGGCGCTGCCCTGCGAGCCCTGCCGCCCTCATTTACCACATGCAGCACATCGCCAACCCCTGCCCGGCCCAGAGCTGCAGCCCTGGGGGGGAGCACTCTCCTCAGAGGGGGGGGCTCCTCCTCCTGCAGCCCCAGCGCGGCGAGCCCCGTGCCGGGCCCCCGGGAGGTGCCTGCGGGGGGAGCCTGAGGCACGGCCGGGGCTCACCGGGAGGCCCCCGGGCACCTCCCCGGCCCTCCGGGGGCCCCCCCCGGTCCCTCCCGGCAGCACGGGGCCCGGCCCCGCTGCGCTCAGCGCCGGAGGGGCCCCCCCGCACCGGGGCCCTGAGGAGGAGGGAGGGGGGAGATGGCGGCACCGAGCCCCGCGCGGCCCGGAGGGCCCAGGCCCGGGCCTCCCCGCGCACCTGGTCCAGGTTCTCCTCGCTGCCGCTGTCCTCGGTGTCGGAGTCGATGAGGACGCGGCCTTTCCGCTTCTTCACCATGGCGGTGCCGGCTGCCCCCCTCCCGCCCGCCCTCCCTCCCCGCCAACGGCGGCGGCGGCGGCGGCGGCGCGGCCCTTGGAGCGGCCCGGCCTGCCCCGCGCCGCCCGCCCGCCCGGGACACAAAGGGCACGGCGCATGCGCAGCGCGCCGGGGCGGGAAGCGGGGAGGGGCGGCTGAGGGGAGGTGAGGGGCGGAGGGGGAGGGAGAGGGAAGGGGGGGGCAGCGCCGCGGGCTCCGCCGCCGGTCCCGGGCCCTGCGGCTGAGGGAGGGGGGGACCCGCGGCTCGGGGCTCGCTGCCGGTGGCGGGGCCGAGGGGCTAAAGCGCCGGGCACAGCGCGGGGGGACCCCGGTCCCGCCCCGCCTGCCCCGGAAGGAGTGAGGCGGCCGCGCCGGGAGCACGGGGAGGCTGCACGGGCTCTGCGCTGTCGGCCGCTGTCGCGATAGAGAGCGGGGAGGAGGAGGTGGGGAAGGGAAGGGAAGGGAGAGGAGCGACCTGCCGGGAGCCGGGGGGTGATCGGGCGGTGGGTCAGGGGTAGCGGTGTGCTGCAGCTGCTCGGGCCAGCAGTGCTGCGGAGATTTCTTTTTCAAAGCTTCGTTTAAAAATGAACGTAGCACGCTTGTAAAGCTCTAATTTTTGCCTTTTCTCTTTTTCATCTGAAGGTGAAGATAAGCTACGGTAGCTACAGGTAGCGCTGGATACCGGTTTCGTTGATGAGCTGATTTCAGACCCGCTCGTTGCCTTGCTGGGGGCGCATCCCGCAGCCCTACCGCAATGGCTCTGACTGTCACGGTGCTGAACGGCGCTGGCTTGCGTGGCCGCTGCTGCAGGCACAACGTCCTGCAGCCCTTGCTTGGATCAGTCCTCGCTGAGCCCACGTCAAAATTGTACAGCAGTTACAGGAGGCCAGGGTCACAGCCTGAGAAAACGCCGTCTTGGCCAAAGGTTGATTTCAATTTTAAGAAGGGCATCGATGCCTTAAAGACTCAGCTGAGCTTGCTGAAGAAGGAGGCCAAAGATCACTTAAGAGGACCCGAAGGCCGTGGGTTTGATCAGTACCTGTTGCAACAGACAAAGGTGTTGTGGGAGTTTCGGAGCCAGGAAGATATAAATAAATGGGTTGTTTCCTCTGATGTAGAGATTGGAGGGAAAAGTGAAGTTTACCTAAAACTGGGTAGGAATAACCAGGCTGCTCTGCTGTATGGAACTCTCAATACCGAAGTACCTCGCGATGGGGAGACAAAATACAGTGGATATTGCAGCATGAGAGCCAAGCCACCAGTGGTAAGTGCAGTTTCGTGCTATCATAGCATCTGTTATTTAATCAGAGAGCATTTTTCTGTGATTTGTGGTTTACTGCAGTTGTAACTGATTGCCTTCAGGAATATTAGGCATTCCTTCTCAGATGTGATTGCTGCTGTGTCCTTTGACTTGGCAGTAACTTTTACTCAGATTTTGTTCTTCTTTCTTAGAAAAGGAACAATACGTTTGATCATTTGCTAATGTACAATAGGACATCATTAAGACAGCCCTGTTTGCTGCCTCCTTACGAGTGAAGGATCTGTAATGAACCGTTAGATCTAAAATTGGTACAATTAAAATAAATGAGTCTCTCTAAATTGGAAGTTAATTGAATGTGTTGTAAGGGCAAATTTTCTGGGCTTTAGATTGGCCTATTCATCAAACTTGGTTTAGGTGAACAAGCTCATTGTTTTTTTCCTTATAGGTACAGAAAATAATGCTTTGAAATGTTTGTTTTAAAGGCCTGACTCCTACTGTGTATCAGAAAAAGCAAGACAAATATTTGATAGATCTAAATTGAGCAAATCGGAACCAGAAATTGATGTGCTTGCTATAGGTACTGCTTTTTTCATTTCTTATATTTAAACATCTTCAAAAAGCAAAGTAACACTTCGAGTCGGTGTGTTAAAAAAAAATCCCTTTTTAGACTGTTCTGTTATTTGCAACTTGGATAGCAGAGGACTTAAGCAAGCCAAATCAATGGGCAAATGAGAGGCAGAGGAACACTGCTTACATTGGTGACACCAGGTCAGGTGAATGGAACAGGGGGTTGAATCTTACCAGAGTTCCCAAGATTGCTATGAACTTGTGCAAATGTGGTTCGAATGTTCATTTCCTAATTCTGAGGTAGTGAAGGGTCCATCAGTCCATCTTTATAATACAGGTTGAGGTTAGATGGTAAAAACATAAATACAAAGGCTCCACTTTATATAAGTAAGAACGCTCAAAACTGGCAAAACCATAAATTGATTATCTGCTGATCCTGTGACTTACAAGATGGGTTCATAGAAGAAAGGTTAATAGGTAGCTGTAGTGGTGCTGTAAAGTAAAGGGGAAACCTTTACTTCTTGGTGCTAATTTTGACTTGGTTTGAGCAGTTCTGGTCACGAATAGCCCTGGCAACCCCCTCTGGCTCCAACGACCTCTGTAACTCTCTGAAGGTTATTTGGTCAGCCCATGTGCAAATCACAACGTTGAGGCTTCTAAGATCTTTGGAAAAAATGCACTCGAGGATTCAATATGCTTGTAGTCTGGATCATTATGCACAGTTAATGACAAAAAGTGTTGGAAAGCATATAAATGCTTTCAGTGATCATGTCAGTCTTTAGTAAGGGAAGTAAGTTACCACAGGGATAAATTATCCCACATATGCAATTTCTTGTAACCTCCTCTGAGTAGCCTGGTACCAACCACAGAATATTAAACGTAATGAACTACAGGCCTGATCTGCCATTGTAGCATTTGTGTGTGTGCCTGGTAGGGAATCTGGTCCGAGGAAAGAGATCTAATTTCTGATAGCTACGAGGCTGTGATTTATAATTAGCTTGGGTCTTCAGAGCAGCGATAGTAGGTTTTGCAGGCTCTCGTACAGTGCTGAAGGAAGTTCGCAGAGATCAGTGCCTGGTATGATGAAAGAGAAACCTCATTTCCACTGTGTCATAGGAGATAGTATTTACAGCGAGAACAAGGGCAGCGATCAAAGCAGTAGCACTGTTCTTTGTAATGGAAATTTCCCTTCAAGTCTGAAGGAGGAATAATTCTGTTTATTAATAATTTGTAGGGATCTTTTGCTAGGAAGAAGTATTACGACTGGTCAAACTTCAACAGTCTGCATTTACGTGTCCGTGGTGATGGCAGACCTTGGATGGTAAACATTTATACAGACCCTTACTTCTCTCATCACAAGGACGATCTGTACAACTACTTCATGTTCACCCGAGGAGGGCCATACTGGGAGGAAATAAGGGTAAGCTCATGAACTTTCCTCTGTGCCACTTGTAAGGACCTGAACAGTGCTGGAACCAAATGTAGGGTGTGACTTCATTTACTAAGTTTTTATTCTATATGCTAGTGACACTGAAGTCTGTTTTTTGTTGGTTTTGTTCTTTTTTTTCCTGTCAGATTCCATTCTCCAAATTCTTTCTCTCCAGTCGAGGAAGAGTCCAGGATAACCAGCACCCTATCTGGTTAGACAAGGCAAGTTTTCTATAGGCTTAATCAGTCTGAAATATACTTTCTATGAATACTTGTCATTTATAAATGACTTGGAAATCCTTGAGGTATTTAATTTTAGTGAATTTGAAATTGAGGGGTCTCTTCCTGTTATAAGTTAATTATTCTTGTGTGCTTACCCTTTTCATTTAAATTATCCTGCTTTGTGATTACAGTGTCAGTTTACTTCAAAGTAGCTCCGAAGATATTTTTAAGATATTTAGATAACCAAGAAACAGCTCACTACTTACTTGGCTGTTCAAAATTTTTTTTTTTGGAGGAATGATCAAAGTGATGGCTGAGAAATCTAGTGTACAAGTTGGCACAGTACTGCCAAAAACATTAAAAGCAAACTTATATCATAGACAATGTATCTAGGGCTTACAAAGGGATAAATTCTTCAGAGCACAGTTTAGGTGACTCCTCTAATAATCCATAACCAGAAAGATGTAGCTTTAAAACCTTTGCAGGCTCTGCAAGTCAATGGCCTGACTTTATAGCTTGCTTCTGGGGAAGATAAAGTAGTTGAAACTCTAGACCAATCTGAGAGGAGTGATGAAGTGATCCATTTAATCACTTTAGCGTTGCTCTTTTACTTATTTAGCATGCGTTTGCAATGTATGTTTATCCTCAATTCTCAGCCTACGGTTATTCACCCTTAATCTGACACATCCCAGGCATTATTTTTCTGCATGTACAGCAGTCCTTATAACCATGAGTACAGATCAGAGCTGCACTTTTAGCAGAGTTTAGGGGTACTGAGAGCTTAATAGGTGACTCACCACTAGTTACCCAACTTGTTTTGAGAAGTGATAATGCTGGAGTCTCTGAAAGATGATTGGTGACATACAAGAGCTGAGAAAGCTTTCAGGCATAGGCTAATGGGAAACATCCCTGAGCCCCAGGGATTTTATCGAGTTTACTAATACAGTTGGAATAAAATAGTGGTGATGGTTGCTTGTTTTTACTAGCGTAGCAGTGGGGAAGGAACGAGGGGTATTCTATTTAAGAACATTATTTTAAATGGGAAAATGTGTCTAGGGCACTTACTGAAATATAAAACTCAGCAACAAAGCTTCTTATATTTTAAAATTTCTGTTTTGGTGCATTTTCACATTATGCCAAGTCTATGACTTGCTCTAGAATGAAAGTTCCCTCTTTTGTTACATTTTTATTTCCTGCTCACACTAGAACTGTAACAGACATGATGAAAATGTTTGTACACCTAATTGTGACAAAACTGGCACTATGCAATCTTAAAAGATTAAAGTTATGGTGTTGCTCTAGACTCAGACCATTTGTAATGCACAGTTCAACATTGTGGTAGAAAAGCAAATGTGAAATAGCTTCCTCTTGGGAGTCTGTATTGAAAATGTGATAGGTAAAGCCCTCACAGCTTAAGAAATACTGCTGCATTTCAAGCAAATACTGAAGTGAATGGCTGCAAACTGTAAAAGCTGCAAGTAGCAGATAACTATTAAATTGTAATGTTATTTTAACCAGTACTTTAATATGTGTATCTTCTAGGTTAGTACCCTTGGATTCACCCTGGGAGATAAAGTAAATGGTCCATTCCAGCTGGAAATTGATTTTATTGGCCTGATAAACGATAGAGCGCATACAGAAGAATTCGCCTATGAAATATATGATAGGAACACTCAAATTTGAACAGCTCATGTCCTTTGGAACATTCTTCAGCTGCCTAGTTAATTTTTATAGAATACTTCAGGTGTGGGTTCTAACAACTTGAAGGTTCTATTGAAACATTAAAAAGTTAAGTGCACGAAGCATTGACTGTAGCAAACTGTTGGTGTCTTTCAGCTGCCAAATGCAGAGTTCATGAGACTGCACCTACACAGCCCAAGGGGAGCTGCAATACATGGTTACAAAGTAGTAACTATTGACTGGCTGAGTTTTGACTTCTGTTCTGACCTTCACAGAAATAAAAATGTCATGAATGCATTGTTGTTTCTCAGTACACAGCAATTTCATTTTACAGTGCATTGTTTATAGACCCAAGTATTTTACAACTGTCTAGTTTTATTACAACTGTGTAATTTTAAACTGGAAAAACTATGCTGGGAATTAATACAGTGAAGGACAGTGGTTAATGGATGGTGCAGAGAGCAGGACCAAAAGTATTCCAACCTTTAGCTTTTGGCTCCTGTGAATAACTAAAAAAAGAAAAAGCTGCTGCGGCTGTCAAGATTGAAAGAGTAGCTATGAACTGGATTTAGCTCTTATTTTAGAGCCGTTGATGATAGCCTTATGCCTTTAGCTCTACAACACTGAAAACTCCAATGGTGGTTTGAGGGGAAGTCCCTGTTAGTGTTTGTTGCCTGCAAACTCATACCTTAGCTTGATTAGCACCATTACTGGGGATTAGGCAGATGATGTTTTTCTGATGTGTATTGTAAAACATTTTTGAGAAGTCTGGTTTTCAGTAACTTTCAATAACTCTTAAAGAACAATTGCTCAATTGTTGTTTTAGATGTCACAAACAGCCCAATCAAAGCTTTGACATCCTTCAGAGTTTCGTTGTTACTTAAATGTACCTTAAAAATGCTGAACATAGCTATACTGTATGTGGAAGAGACCACAAATAAGCAAGTTGAAGCTGTCTTGTACTATCCTTTTCCTCTTGCACAGAATTAGATCATTTAAGAGCAGAAGAATGGTAACATTCATCCTTTCTAAAGGTATCAGACACATGCATTCAAGAAGGGGTAGGCAGGCAAATCAGTAAGGAAAACTAGTCACTTACAGAAAGAGAGACTGAGTAATAAAGAAAAATGTGAACAAAACATGCTACATGGAGGAGGTAGTTATACACAGTAGATCACGTAACTATCAAGATATGTACAAAATATTTATTTCCCCCATTAACTTTATAAAAAATGAGCTTGACATTTCAGCATATGACAATACTAAATTCATTTCAGTATTTGCTCACTAGAATAGCTGAGATTACAACTGCTACATTACGTTTCCAGTCACTGTTTCATCCATAACAAATCCAGACAGCTTCTGTTTTTTTTTGTAACATCAGTTTTTGAATACAAGGCATTGAGCATTCTTCAGCACTACATTCACATCCTTTAAGCATCATAGAGAACAAAAAAAATAACATCTGCTATTTACCATAGAAAGGAACAAAACTAAACTTAACTGTTCAAAGCACAGAGCTGTTAACTTGTAAAGCCACTTCTTGATTACAACCCTTTTTTAAAAAAGGGTATTTCACAACTATGCTATGTTGTAAGCTTTGTAGCTTTCCAGAAAGCATTAATACTTTTCTTCTAGAAGTTCCCTACTATTTCACGGAGCTGCAGTTAGGAATACAGAACAACTGGCTCTTCCAGTTGCTACAGGATTTAAAGATTGATTTGGAGAACAGGGCATGCAGATACCTCCTTCAATTTACCAGTGGAACATTTTAACATTTGCAATTCAAAGCATACACTCCAGTGGGTGATAAATGCATCCTGGTGGAGAAGTCTATACTGAATCACAAGGAGGCTCCTTGAGCATCTCTTTTCCACTTATATTTTCTGCTTTAACATTTTTTTAGTTAAGGGAGTTATTTACATTAAAGTATTATTAGGTTCTCATCTCATTGGAGAAGTTGATCATGAAAGCCTTATGCTCAGATGCATTGTAAGGTCTCATTCAAAGCTCTCTGGATTCTACTAACTAATAAGCAACCTGACCTATACTCTAAAGTACAGACAGTACAAATATTTACATGAGAGGGACAGTATTTACAGTCAGATCCAGCCTTTTTCTGATTCTTTTTAACCTACAGATAATCCTCTACGGTTTCCAAGAACCTGAGCCTTTTTCTTTTTTCTCTCCTGCTCATGCTTCTCCCGCCTTTCTTCCCTGAAGAAAAAAAAAAAGAATGAGACCATATCAAGTTATGTTAAAGGCAGAGACACAAGCAACCCAAGGAATATGAAGGTGACCAAGGCTTGACATCTATTTAACCAATATGCCACATTAACCATGCGCAACAGTTCCATTTTCAATCAAATCTGAACAGACTAGTACTTCTGCTTAGATGTACAGGTCTAACATTCAAGGTCACAGCTTGTCAATATTCATTCTCTTTTGAGATTAAGGCAAGTATCCAAATGCTAGAATTGGAAGGTCTCATAGAATAAAAGTCTATCAGATTCACAGTTGCATCTTTCTTGGCCTTTGTGTTACTGGACAGGTACTGGAGGCCAAAGTGAATACAGAAGTATTCTTTTGTGAACTGTACATGTTAATACTAAAAAAGCGAGCTATCACATTATTTTAAATAACACTATTCATAAAGAGCTAATGTTATACTAACCTTGTCTGGAGACGTGGCTGTTTGTAATCTTTCTTACGTGAAGAGACGTTGCTACTGACAGACTTATTTATAACAGTATTTTCTTTGCTTTCTCCCCAAGGTTTTAATCGTCCTACAAGTCAGAGGCAAAGACAGGTTACTGAATTACTACAGTTTAGTACTTATGTGCTTAACTTACTGTGAATTTTATACTAGCTAGCTTGTTCTTTGCTGTCTGCCTGCACGACAAAATGCCTCTTCAGTTGTATTATTAGTTTCAGCAGCCCATTTCTTATGAGTAGTTTTCCAGGTAACAGTAATTACACGAAGAACATTTCAGATGCTTTGCTTCTCCCACAAATATGCACTTTTAATAAAGAAATGATCCTTTACACAATAAGGTTTTTAATCTCAAATTCTTTGTGCATACTCATATTCAGTGCAATACATGGACATTTATTTCTGTATTCATGAGATTTTGTTCATTGAGATATTTTTCAGTAATGAGGCTCTCAAAGCATGCATCATGTAGAAATTTAACAACAGCCCAAAAACTACTTGGGAATCTCAAGAAAAAGGGACAGGGAAAATAAATAAAAGATGAATACACAACATGATGTAGCAAAGTAGCTCAGTGCCTTATTTTTATGAGCATTTAATAAGTAATATGACCAATAAAGGATCACTGTACCTTTATGTGGTTGATAACGAAGTGGCCTTGAGAGACTTGCTTTGAGATCAAATGTCTTCTTTGTGCTTGTAGGCTCTGCAGAGTGAGCTCCAAACTTGAAGGGGGTAACAACTACAAAAAAACATTGAATTGTTGTACTTATTAATTGTAGTAGCAAGAACATACTTTCCAACTTGCTACGTAAATAGATCAGTGAGGACCATGGTACAACTCTCAAGACCAAAGAGCCATTAAATGCTACCTTCTGCTACCACTGAAATCAATATTGTACAGATGCAGCTCACTGGACCTGCCACCCCAAAAAATACCAAAATTATCATATAGCAAGATAGGTAGCAGAGGTCAAGAACTTGGAGTTGATGTACCTGGTGATGCCAGGATATCATATCAACTGTTAGCAGAGCTGTGGTGGTGCAGAGTACTAATGATCAGAAGAATTCCTCTTTCCTACATACAGGGTTCTGAATCCTGACCTAATTAAGGTTGCTGAGGCTGATAATATCAGGTTGTCCTAAAACACAGCTAGATAACTGGTGCAAACCTATCCCACAAGGAGAATGAGACCTTTGAAAAGGCATCAGAAACACCTCCCACCATAGGAATCTCCCCATATGAGTTATGTCAACCTTTTCCTATGTGATCCATAAAGGTCCAGAACTTTTTCTATCCCCCACAGGCTTTTCTGTAGGTAGCTAGGTATTCAAAGTCTTTATGCTTACTACCTGTTTAGATTTTAGCAGCTAAACATTTAAATTTAAATACTGGAAACTGAAGGAAATAAACTGCTGCAGTTTCTGAAGAATCAGTCATAAATTAGAGATTGAAATTAAAACACGGACCTACATTATATTGTGCTATAAGAATTATATAACCATTCAGTACAAATAAGTCTTCATGCAAAAAACAAAATCGCCATCCACTTTACCCTTTGATGCAGCCAGATCATTATTTCTTGTATCCCTCTTGCTGCTTTTCGTACTTAGGCGTTTGCAGCTCTTCTGGCTATCAGGTGTGCAGAATTCGTTTAAGTATGGAGACATTCTAGATGGAGTCTTGGTAAGAGAGCGCTTATGCTCATTATCTTTTGTGGCTTCTGAGAACCTGAAAGTTATCAGAAGTGTAAGGACAAAAATTAGTCACCTACAAGGAAAGTAAGCCATATTACAGAACACAAAAGGAGTAGAAGATGCATTTTATATGTTGGAAGTTTTTCTATATATAAGATGTTCACAGCTAACACAAATTACACTAAAAATACCTTTGTTGACGATTCTCAGCTTGTGATCCAACATTAAAATTCTTACTATGACTTACAGCTATTATAGCTAACTTGTTTTGGAGAGAAAAAGTATTTGAGTGCAATAAGCTAGATCTCTTTACCAGCCTATGCAGCTTACTTAATCTTTAGTTTCCCTAGTAAAACACTATGATTTATAAACATTATTAATTTGAGTTTTCAAATTCAGAAGTTAAAAAAATAACTAAACAGAACTCTAGATCCATGAGGAGAAAAATTCTAGTCAAAACACAAGCTACCTGTATACCAAGACACATGTATGCTGTCTGTGTGTGTAAATACACACTTCTTAATGTGTGAGCATGTGAAAGAAAACTCAAAAGCTTGCATGAATTAATAAGTCTCATCAATAACATTACTGAGCTGAAAGCGCTGCTTTTTCCATATCTTGCAAAAGTTTATTATTAAGACCTATATTTTGAGGGCTAGGAAGTTTATGGATGAAGTGTAGCTTGCAAGATCTAGCACAGCATATTTTTGGACAAATGAAATGGAAGTTCTGAAAGCATTGTTACATTTTACATAATGCTAAAGAATCAAGTAGGGCTACAGTGGAAAAAAGTAAGCAATTACTAAAAGGTAGAATATTGTTTTCACTTGATGATTACACTATCATTTTTCAACAGAGAACAAGATTGGATTAATAGAAGGAAACCATGGAAATCAAAATTGTCACATACAAAATAGAAATAAAGCCAGCAAGAATGAAGGACTCTTCTATTCTATTGCAAAAGGACTCTCAGTCTTGATCTCCAAGAAGCAAAAGAACTATCATGGAAAGATTAGAGGTCTCATAGTTATTTATATTATTTATTAGTTGTACTGACATATAGGGCAGAAGGGAGAAACCAAAAAAAATAAATCCTTTTTTCAGAGACAAAAAGTGTCCCAGCAACTATAAACTTGGCACACAAGTGTTAAGAAGTAAGTGTTATCAGAAAAATGCAAAGTAATGCAACGGAGACACAAGATTAACCTGATACTATTAGCAGGGTGAGAAGGACAAGGTTAAAATTTAGAATATCTAAATCTGAACTTCAGCTATTGTGAAAAGTCAGGTAGGGGGAAAGCCAGTATCAACAGTTAGTAACTGGCAAAGAAAATAGTAGATAGAATGACTTTCACTGAGAGAAAACTGGGCAAAAGAACATTTCTCAATAGAATACCATTAAGGACTTTGCTTTCAATTCCTTTTTTTTTTTTTGTTCAAGACTTATTAGCTTATTAGTAATAAGCTAATAATGTTTATTGATAACAAAAAATCAGAAGACATTAACATAATTGTGTATTAGATTAATGTGTAGGAATAATGAAGTGTGTAACATTTTAAAAGGAAATGAGATCCAATATAATAGCATCAAGTATGAGCTCATTCATTTAGCAATTAATCGTGACTTTCTGGTGTCAGTTTGCTTCTAGCAGATGGGAACCAATCTGCTTATGTTAGTTGATTACAAGATGAGGCCCTACTCTGATCAACAGGTATCAAGATGAAGAATCAAAATAATATTAATATAATAAAGTTTAAACCAGCCCTAAAGTTAGGCAGAAAGGTAGAAATCAGAATTAATCTTGTGTAGGTCATGTTTGGAACAAAAATATAGTAGTCAAATCACAGTCAATGTTTATTATTAAAATAAGTGTATCATATGAAATTGCTCACTGATAACTTGGGTTTGTTCTTTTTACCTGACATTCATTTTGGTTGTGGAGAGGACTGAAGGATTAAATGAAGATTTCCTAGATAAAATACTTTGACTTGCAGTGTTCAGCAAACTGCGTGGTGAGCGTCGCGGGTTACTGGGAGTGCAGGTGGCAGACAATCTACCTCTTTCTGGATTTGGGCTGAATAAGAATGTTTTGCCAGCAGTACGTTTCTAGGGAAAAGCAAATCACAAGTTAACATACTCCATTAAACGTTTAGTCAGGAATATATCTAAGAGGAAGGGAAAATACACAATGAATCAGAAGCATACAGTCTCTTATGCTTTTAAAGTGGGAAGGGTGGGAAAGGGAAAGACATTTGACACACAGTTTTTTATATTATTAAAGTGGTTTGAAAACATATACCTTAGAATTGTTATGTGGAAGGCCTTTTTCTGATGCCCTTAAAAGATTAGATTTTTTGGCCAGCACCTGCCAAAAATAATTGGTCTGAAGCACGCATTAAGCATACAACATATGCCACAGAAAAGAGAAACACAACTTTCAGGAGTTTCAGTGTTACATTTTGATCTATACACTGGTATTCACTGATACATTGTAGTTGCTCTTATAGTATCTGCCACATCCTGGAATAGGCCCCTTTGTAGTTTTCATGTGTAAGAACTGAAAAATCCCTGTTTTTTGAAGAACAATCCATCACCTTTAGTTCTGCAGCAATTCACACTTGTTAACAAAAGTTGTTTATTGGTTTCTACAACCATTTATAACCATACACCATTAACATACACTTTAATACTAAAAACATCGCTATTGAACTTATATGCAAATAAGTATATAGAACTACTTATATAGGACTCCAATTCAAGTCTCACTGATGCTGTGATATTCCACTGCATGCATACATAACCTGCTTCTTACTGCTCTAGAGACCCTGAAGGAATTTTTAGATTTTCTGGAAAAAAACAAATACAGGAACAATGGATGTCTGTCCTGTTAGCACTTACCTTGACTTCATTGAGTGAACTGCTGCAGTTTTCAATCATTTTTTTCTTCCTCTCAATGTAGTCAGCAATAGACTCCATTTTCTTGAAGTGAGCCTCATGTAACTTCTTAAAGTCTAAGAAATTCCAAAAATAATAAGTCATACATCTGACAAGCTCCTAAGGAAACTTGCTACCTAACAGAAAAAGCTTGCAACACTTATTGTTACAACTTCTCTCCAAAAAGTATCCCTCTAAGTCTGTGTACCCACAGGTACCTAAACAGTGCAGACAGCATCTACTTCAACTACATAGTTACGTGGTACCTGCTCTAGAGAATTCTACAAAGGAAGAAAGCCCAAAGCTTCAATTTTCTAGTAATCCAACCATTTTAAGTTAATGTTTTTTATAGTGTTTTATGAAGTAATGAAAGTGAGCTAACTTATAAATGCTACACTTGCGATATTACTATAAAATGAGAACTAAATATGCAGGCGTCATAGCATGTCTTCCTACTCTTTGTTATGAAAACTGTGAATGCAAGTATAATATCCAGAAGACACCAAAGCACTCCATAAGCCAGTTTTATAACCTATACTTAAATCATTTACTGCTGTGAATTTACAAGTGGGAAGCTGTACCTCCACGTAACCTTCTGGCATTTTCATTTGTTCGCTTTTTAAAGAGAAGGTGGTCTCTTGGTTCAAGCAAAAAATGGAAGTCTGGTTTGTAAAACCCGTAAGTCAAGTCTCCCTTCACACAGAGGCAATATGTTCTATTTACAAAGGTGGTAGACTCTCTTACTTGGTGTAGTAGCTTTCATTCCTGTTTTCCCAGACCTCGATGCGCGGCCTACATGTATAGGGATCTTCCCTCCCACAGGATGAATATCACCTGGCACAATAAGATTAGACATAATGATTAGAACTAATAGGAAATACTTTAAATATCTTTAAAACCTTGGTTCCATAATATACCTTACCTCCTCAGAGCAGCTTTAGGTTTTTAGAAATCACAATCTCAATTGGAATAGGTACATCCTAAGACTCTCAAAAGCTTTTTAAATCATATGTCAGTAACAACATGTCATGACATACTACAAACCCAGAATGAGTCTGACAGAAAATAGCCTGACAGTACTTTCAGTAGTAAAGTATTTTACAGAAGGAGTTAACAAGCAAACTCTGCTTGTGGTAAACAAGTACAACCCACTGGTCTTTTATCTAAAAATATTTAGAGCCTAATATTTGAAGTTTTTATACCTGTAAAAATAAACATATTTTGACCAGCTTTTCTGACATTGCCTTAAATATAGGCACAAGAACCTAAGCTATTTTGATTATCTCTGCCCTCAGGTCTGCTTTATTTTATTTTTTTTAATCTTGCCTGTAGCTTGCTTTTTAGCATAAACACACCATAAAGCCAACATACAGAAAACTGTACTAAATGTAGCAATAGTATTTTTCTGTTACACAGCTCTCTTGCTGTCTGAAATTACTGTTAAAAAAAAAGTCAAAGCAATATGGATACTTATGGTTATGGGAAGAGACAGGCACTATACCAAATGTCAGGGTCAAATTCATTATAATGTTGCCTCAGCCAAAGCATCCTCTACACATTTTATTGCATCTGCTTTTATAAGAAACTTAATTGAAAACTCTCATTTCTGTAATTTTTAAACTGCTTTAGAAATAGCCTCCAGTAAGAATGTTCTTTAAGTACTATTGAACAGCAAGGTTATGTTATCCTTAATACATCTCAATGACTATTTACATCTAGTCTAACAGGAGAAAATAATGGCATGTATCTGAAAATTTATTGTGAATATGTCAAATAAAATTGGGAAGACGCTTATTTCTTCTTCAGGTCAGCTGCATGCACAAAAGAGCGGGAAATGAGTCCATATTTTGTCAGCATCACGTTTGAAGGTCTAAAAAAGCTACCAGATATAAAAGTGGTCCACCATAACACACACAGATAACGTTTGGCAAACAAACTAATAAGGGCTGTCTTTATGCCTTTTAATACCCATATTACTCCCACAAAGAAAGTGATAAAACCCATTTGTGAGTAGAAAAAGAAGGAAGCACAAGGAAGGGAACTCTCCCCTTCTTGCTACTCAGTTCCTTTAAAAAGTGGCATCTTAAGGGTATTCCAGAAAGCACAGATCCTAAACAAAGTACAAGAATTAGATACACTCAGACCATCAAGAACGCCTTAACTGAAAATATTTAATTGGTCCAGATTTCCAAAGTCAAAATTAGCAGAACTACCAGACTGGAGAGTTTGTGGAGTTGTTTTATGATGTGTTAAATAAACAGGCCCAAATGTCAGATTCTTCTCTGGCATCCTCAAAAAGGTTCAGATCACCAGAAATGTCACCAAAGAAAATCTTTGCAGACAACAAAATAACCAGCAAATGTATTTGAATTACTATGAATGACTAAAGTTACATTTATGGAAGTTATTACTCACATTCCTCTCTAGTACCTTTAGTAGAAGTCTTCTCTGGTTGTTCCTTCTCCCCAGTAGCCATCCCTGGATTCTCAATAGCTCTCTTTTTAATTACTGGTTCCTCATTTTGGAATACCATCTGTCCCTTTTCTTGCTCACCATGGGGCACTTCATTTTCTTTCATTTCAGAATGTTCCTGCAGTTAAGCATACTTCACTTAAACTGTTTGTTACAAGTGGATATAAGGAAAAGATTTCATTCTAAGAGCAGTTGGTTAGTGGAATAAGCTGCACAGAGAAGTTGTATAGTCTCCATCCTGAGAAGTTTACAAGACTGGATTAGATAAAGCCCCAACTTTATAGCTGACCCTGCTTTCAGGGGAAGATAGAGCAAGAGGCTTTCTGAAGTCCAACCTGAATTAACCTAGGAAATACTTATTCTGTTATTGCACAAACAGATCTATATTAGAAAGCTTTTACCCACACAGTTCTAACATTTTAGCATAAATTGCCTCTGTTGACAAAGTACAACTATCTGCAAGTAAAAATAAATTCACTGGCTATGTTGCTTTTTATTTCTGTAACTTTGGTTACTGCACGGTTTTGCTTATTTAGACATGCTGCTGAAAGATTAACACCTCTCATTTTCCCATTTCCCTCTAACTGTACTGTTATGTTTTTCACATAGTTCAGAGCTCACCCACCACTTGCACATTATACTAGAGAAAAATAATTCTATCCCCATATCACCCTGAAATCTCTCCTCCATCAGTCATACAACCCACAAATATATATATACATACACTTGCATTAAAACACTGACAGCCACGAGAATAAAAAAAAAGGTTTGGGCAATCATCCAGTTTCTGTGAATCTTTTCTATATCAAAAAATGCCAAGTGCTTCATTTTAGATAAATTGTGCAAGCAGTCTAATGTTCAGACAGAAACCATGATGAACCAGTGAAAGCAATCCTACATCCAGTGTTTGGGATGGTATCTCTCTGAGGAATTTAATTTATTTTCTTGTACTAATGACATAAGTTATCTCTGTTTGTTATGGAATAGCACATGGTAGACTAAATTAATCTAATAGCACTAGTACATCTGCATACAAAATCTCAGGTGTTACCTATTAATATGGTAGTAGAATGAAACAAGCATGCTTCACTTATCATTTACTGGGAACACCCACACAAACACACACAAAGCCATGCAATACAAGTCACCTCTTTCTCAGCAGAGAGCCCTGTAGTTTCTTCCTTGGTTTTAATTTCCTCACTGGAGTTCTTCTTTTTTCTGGTTGCTTTCTTTTCTTTAGATCTTTTTGTGACAAAACACACTGGATCAGGTTTAAATTCTTTCTGACAGCTCAATTCAGTGTTCATGGAAGCAGATGCACTTTTTTCAGCATCCTGTATCAGAGAAGTACCATGACTTGTAACATATCTGATATACATCAGATATTCCAAAGAGACAGCTTCAACATTACCATTGGAAAACGCATTTCACACAGTAGTACACATTTAAGTAGCACTGTAATTAGAAAAAGGGCAGTATCTAAATTCCTTAACACCAGCTGTTTTACAGCCTTAAAATGCTACAGAATGAAACTGTATTTCTTTTCAGTCAGAGACTATAAAAAATAAAAACAAATAATATTTGAGACTGACTGAAATGACGCGGCAGCCCTTCCCAATTTTGTAAAGATTATCACATAAAAAGGTACACACATAAGGAGAGGAAAGAGGGTGAGGTAAGAGGGAGACTTTTCCATGCTAGTTAAAAATAAGCTAAGATTACACCATCTCCTCACGATTTTTAGAGGCAAGTTATAAGTGAAATATTTAAAAATAGTTAGTTTAGAAGAAGTGGTTACCAACTTCTTTAACCAAAAGTAAAAAAAAAAAAAAACACACAATGAAATAATTTAGTTCACAGAAATCTTGAAAAAAACAATACATGGAAAGTAAACATCACAGTTGTATTGCTTTTGTTATGTCAACGTAAGTAAACTGTAGTATATATAAAATGCTTTGAGATTAGTCAGTACAGCATGTAAGTATTTTAATTCATTTTGCATGCCTAAATGAAAGGACTAGTGTCTGGAGATAAACAGGAAAAATTAAGATTCATTCAATGGAATGTAAACATTACTGTTCATAGGGAATAATTTTGTATGCATGCTAAAAATACCTTGTTAATTTTAACAGGTGGAAGGGCTAGAAAATACATCATTAAATTAACAGCTGGAAGGGAGCCAGCTTTCAGCCATATAGTAGGCCACTTCAAGTATTCGCACAGCTGTTTCTAGCAGTGCAAGCGCATTAAACTAAAGGCACTATTTAAAAAGAAGGGGTTTTTTTATTACCATTTGCATCATGCTAAAACCAATGTTCATTATATGCTGTGCTAGACTAGTTACAAAGTTAAATCTTTCTTTCTGAAAAAGAATGGCTGTTTTATCATCTATTACCGTATTTTCACTTTCTTCTTTTATTCCTTGAAAGTGTTGCTTCAGTGCTTTCAACAGTTTGTCTCCCTGAAGAGAAATCAAAACAACAAACAAACCAAGCATTGCATTAAGTCACCAAACAAGAACTGCATAAACCCAACTAGTGTCTACAAACCAATCCTACAAATAAATAGAATATTTGCTGAATCCAAGAGAATGCTTAAGGCATGCTTGGAGGGAAGCAACTGTCTCACTCTGCTCTCTCTCTTTGGCTCTACTCAAAGCCTCTCTTTGAGTATTGTGTGCGTGTATGAGTAACACAATATAAGAAAGACGTAAAACTATTAGTGTCCAAAGGAGGGCTACAAAGGCAGTGAAGGGTCTAAATGGCAAAATGTAGGAGCAGCTGAAGTCACTAGGCTTGTTGAACCTAGGACAGCGGAGGCTGAGGGGAGGCTTCCTGACAGCCTGCAGCTCCCTCACGAGGGGAGCAGAGGGGCAGGCGCTGAGCTCTGCTCTCATGACAGCAACAGGACCCGAGGGAACGGCATGGAGCTGGGAAGGGGAGGGTCAGGGTGGATATAAGGAAAATCTTCACCAAGAGGGTGGTTGGGCACCAGAACAGGCTCCTCAGAGCAGTGATCATGGCACCACACCCACCAGGTACAAGAACTGTTTGGACAACAGTCTCAGACACGTGGTCTGATTTTTGGGTGGTTCTCCTCCAGCCAGGAAGTGAATTCGATATTCCTTGGGGTTCCTTCCAACTTAAGATGTCCTAAGATTCGACAATTCTAATTGAAGAGCGTATTTAAGACCCCAGGTAAACATGCAACGTGTATTTTCCACGGGGGCACAAAGACAAGTCTCCCTGGCCGGGTTCCTTCTGCTCCATCTGAGCAAAAGGAGAGGTAACCGTTCACAGCTGAACGAGCCCGTTTCAGCAGCGCTGCCCAGCTGAGCAGGAATTAAAATCGCACCAAGCTTCGGCAGGAGCTGCCCGTGCCTTGCTCACCCTGCACACACCGCACCACTCGCGTACATTCAACAACAACAACAGAACAGCTCAGCGGGGAGCGACCTCCAGAGACTTATTGCCCAAATACGTCAGAGCCAACCGAAAGCTGACGAGTATTAACGACAGCACTGCCAAACACCCCTCAGGCGGGGCACCGCCGCCTCACGAAGCTTAGGAGGCACCAACCGTCCCCCCCCCAGCCCCCTCAGCGCTGCCCCTGCCCGCCCCTCGCCTACACCCGCGGCTCAGCCCCCCCACCCCAGCCGTGCGGCGCCCCCCGCCTCACCCGGAGGTTGGCCTTGAGGCCGACAGCCTTGGCGAGCTGCTGGAGCTCCGCGTATTTGAGGGACTCGAGGTGCTGCAGCGCGGGGAGCGCCATGGCGGTCGCGGCCCTCAACCGCCACACTTCGAATCTCGCGCTCAACCGCCGCCCACGCCCCGCCCACGCCGTTCGAACTCGCCCTCCGCGCGCCGCCATTGGCTGAGCGAGGAGGAGGGGGCGGGTTTTTTGGAGGGGAAGCCACCAATAGCGGCGCGGCCGCCTCCGAGCCGGTTTTTTCAAACGCGCTCAGGAGCCGCTTGAGCGGGCGCGGGGCCGCCCTTTCCGAGCAGCGAGGATTGACAGCCCGGCCGCCCAATAGCAGCGCGCGTTCCCCGAGCGCGCTCCAATCGCGAGGCGGGGAGGGCGGGGCGCCGCGCTGGAGCGCCGGGCGGGAGAAGATGGCGGTGCGGCGGCGGCTGCTGCAGGAGCCGCTGCTCGGCGGCGTCATCACGGCGGAGCGGCCCCCGCCGGCCCCCCCCGCCCCGCCAGCGCCTCCGGCCCCGGCCCCGGCCCCATCCCCATCCCCAGGGGAGGCTTCGCTGCGGCGCCGGGGGCTGCGTCCCGAGGACTGCGCCGTGTTCCAGTGCCGCGGGTGCCGGGCGGTGCTGGCGGACTCGTTGCACCTGTGCGCGCAGGAGGAGCGGGGGCTCGGGCTCCTCGCCTGCCTCAGTCAGTGCCGGGGCGGAGCGGGGCGGGCAGGGCAGGGCAGGGCGCGGTGCTCCCGCGTCTCTCTTCTTTCCTCAGGAGTCACCGGGGACGTGGCCTGGGAGGACGCGCTGCTGGTGGGCCTGGAGGGAGCCCTGCTGGGCTGGTGCGTAGCGCGGCCGCCTCGCCGGGTCTCTTCTTGCTGCTTTCTGTCACGATAAAACAGCGCTGTCGGTAAAAACCCGGTTGTTTGCCTCCTCCTCACGAGGCGGTGCTCGGCGCTGGCAGGGGGAGCTTTCACATCGCCTGTCAGAGGTGCAGGCATCGCCCCGATTTCACCACGCACCACACCTGATCTTTACAACTTAAATCTATTTCACCGCATTATCGCGTTTGATCTTTACAACCTAACTCATTTTGAGACGATGCGCTGTGGATTTTTCTTTCTAATTGCAATTTCACTTATTACACAGATTTTCTTAGACAACATGCCCAACTTCCCATATTCGTACACTCTGTATTATTTAAGCATAAAGCACTATATTCTGTCTTACTGTCCCGATGAAATTTTGATTTGATGTCCTGTGACATCTCCCCAGTATCCATGGTTTCATAACTTGTTTAATAACATTATTTTTCCATTTTTCCTTTTAGTGCCTACAATGCATTATACTGTCGGTTGTGTGGCTCGATGGTGGGCTTCATTCTTTATTCTGCGTTCAGTAACCTGGCTCATCTCCGAGGCTTATTTTGTTTCTTCAAGGAGAGCATCCTCTGGTGAGTGTCCTGGATGTTGATGGTCAGGGATTTCATGGGAATTTGCAAGTTTTTAAAGCAGGATGTACGACGAGTCTGCAGTTTACTTTTGACTGAGAGCGTTGATGTGGGATTTTAATATTCTCTGTGTTTACATCGTTTGTTTTGGCATGACTCCATGTGATTTGCCTTAAACTTTTTGAATGTCCTCACATTACATCAAAGTTTAAATTTAGTTGTTTCCAGTGCTGAAATCTCCTTCAGTTCTAGATCCATTTAACTAATGTAAGATATCAAAACAGTTCCATGATAAATGGACTTCATTATAGAAACTGTAAATTATGTTTAGCTGGTAATGAGGGGATCTTATGATTTGAAAGTAACATATTGTTGTTTTTTTGTTTGTTTGTTTTTTTAATATTTTCGTAATCAATGGAGTACTTCAGGGAATAATTTTATATCTGTTTTAAAATCTTGTTAAATAATCTTTATAAACAAGGAATACAATTGTGTGAGCTTTTTAATTGTTGTTCTTGTTGTTTTTTTTCCCCTTTCCCTATTTGTTTTCTAGCTATCTTTTAAAAAACAATATAACAATAGAAGCATCTAAGGTGAATTTTCCTGCTTTGACCCTAAAGGAACAACTGGGGAAAGTAAGGTTTCTACATGACTTTGTATGGAAAATAGCAAGAAATACTATTTTTGGATATTAGCCAAAAATATGAATACAATTACCGTATTTGCAATGCTTAGAACTTACCAAGTTCTATCTAACTTTTTGACAAAAGGTTATTTCTTAGTGAATACATATGTTCTGTGCTACTTCAGTGCTGTCATGAGGGAATGGGACTTTACATTTTGAAAACAAAAATAATGTTTTTCTAAATGATTCTAAATATTACCACTTGTGCTGTCCCTGGAATTGAAAAGTCACCATTGAATGATGATAATAATAAAAAAATGTAATACTCTGTTGTTAACTTGAAAAGGATTCTAGCAGTGTTGTATTTACAGCTATGTAAACTCAAAACAGCACAACAACATCAAGTTGTAGTTTCAGAGACGATACAAGATCCTCTCTTCTTTTTTGCTATTTAAATTGGTTGTTCTATTATATAATATGGTTAGTTGATAACTTAGTAAATTGTTTGTCCCATAGTTCAAATACAGTTACTGTGTGTAGGAGACAGCCAATGCGTTGGGTGTTTATATGCTTACTTGTTCCTTTTGTTCATTTATTTATTTTGGTTTCCTTTCTAAGCATGAAAATGGGCCCACAACATTACTTAAGTTTTGTCATCCTCAAGTGTGTTATCATAACAGATAGGCGGATTGTTCAAAGATCCAGTGTTAGAATAACATTTTTCTCTAGTTTTACTAGTACTTTTTTTTTTCTAGCTGAAAGAAAAGCTTGTGATGGTCCACATGCGCCTAGAATTGCTGATAAAGAAGACGGAGGAATTGAAGCAAAAGAACATGGCACAAAACTATGGCTCTGCATCAGATGCAGTTGCCCTAATGCCAGGATATGCAATAGTCAAGACCAAAAATAATAGGCCATTTTGAAGAACTACCTGGGCCGTTTCTACATCTCTACTGAGTTTGTTCGTTATGAGGAAATAATGCAGCAGAACAGGTTTGAGAGAGCTGATCATTTGCTCTGTCTCTATACAGAAAGAATTGGGACTTAAATGCACCTCTTTTTCTGAGGGGAACAGCTGAAAACCTAACGTTCTTAAGCTATGCTCAGAGAAACACGTAGCTTTTGGCTGCTCCACGAAGCTTAGGCTGTGAGCCACTGCCTTTGATAGATGTGAGCCTTTCCGTCCGGGGTTGAAGCTGTGAAAGCAAGGAACAGTCTTTTCTTCCCTTTTACTTCTGGTCCATCACAGGAACACTGCTCTCCTGAAGCTGTGATGATCTTCCTGCTGCCTTCCCATGGCCTGTTGAGATGTCTTGTAAAAGTTACCTAATGGGTACTTATTAGCTTTGCTTTTTGATTGGGTTGTGCTTTTTTTCCAAACATCTAGAAAGTAATTTGATGGAAAAGAAAGAAGGCTACTTACGCCTAGTTACATAGACAGAGTATCTTTGTCCCCAGTTCCTGTTTGTTGGAAGACTGGGGGGTCCTTTTCCTCCTCCGTCTGCTGCCTAAAGGGCTGATTTTTGAAACTGTCTGTAAAAATTAATAGCTTCATGTAGCAGTCTGGAGAGGGTTGTATTTACTTGATCAGATTAATTCCAGTGATTCAGTTTGCCATTGCCTTTTTTCTGCCTTCCATATGTGATTGGCAGATTGCACTGTGTTGCTGATGATACGAGTTCTCTCTGTACTTCATGGCCTTATTTTACAAATAAATAACTCCTGTATCAGGCTTGGAGCAGAGGGGATGAGACTCACTGCAAGGCACCTTGCAGGCTTATGTGGACAGCTGGTATTTATGCTACTACTTATGTTCAGTGTGCTGGTTTTTGATTAAAAGTCCTCAATTGTCTCCATTTATTCTGATTAAGCAATAACAGTATCAAGAGCTATTCTGCTGGGAGAAAAGCAGCTCCCTCTGTTAAATTCTAACAGTACCTGCTCTCTAAATGATGATTATCATCATCAGTGTTTTACAACTGTGACAGGTGTAAGCACAGAAATGCAGCACTTCTCAATGACAGCTAAATTTGGGCTATCAAAAGTAACTACCTGAAATAAATGTTACACTCTAGTAAGATCTGCTTCATTGCCTGTAATGACTAATGTTATCATCTTCTCCAAAACGTGTTCTAGCCTGAACCTTTAACTGGAGAGCTGTTCTTCTTAACAGTTGTCACTGTACATTCATGTAAAGTTTGGATATATATACATACTCATTATTAAGAACCAAGATTTTACAATCTTGTGTATTATGTTTAACAGCATCTTTGTCTTTAACTGGGTTTTTGTGACTAAACCCACCTCATGCAAATATCCTTCCAATCTCATGTAAGTGTTTTCCTTTGTAAAACTTCACCTTTGTGTTGCTTTTCAAGTGTCAGTTCTTCTGTTGTATCAGTCCAAGAAACATGGTAGGTAATGGTACTATTCACTTCTGCCCTTTCATTCTGGTTTCTGCATCGATGTTTTTCTTGTTATACACTTCACATTTCTACTGTGTGTAATAAGCGTAAAATTGTCTTCCTTTATTTAACAAAGTACGCACCCCTAGGAGGAAAAGAAAGGTGTCAGCTGCATTTTTTTTTATATTATCTTTACTGTTGTAAAGACTACTTAAAGAATAAAAATGCTGAAATTCAGAAATATATATCTTGTGTAATAGTGTGAGTTGTAAGCTTTTAAATTGTATTTCACTAGTCTTTGAACTGGGAAGACCTCAGTTCCAGTGAGTCACCCTGCGGTCCTTTGTGTCTGTCAAATCATGGTTCTTGGCACTATTGCCCGTTGCATCTGCTGACACTCACAGCAGTAGAGTTCTAAATAAAACCTGTTTCAAGAAGCAACCCACCTTAATTTACAAAATGCAAAATAAGTGCAACAGCATCTTCAGTAGTTTAGGCTTAACAGTTACTAAGACACCAACTTAAACTGTAGTCTTAGGTTTTAAGTGATGCTTAAACTTTTCTTCCTAAAAGATTTGATTCAGATTTTGATCCTACAGTCTGTCTCGGATTCAAATTCCACCTGAATCTACACCTGAGTGGTGAATTTTTTTTTTTTCCCTACTGTGGAACCTAATCTCCTCTAGCTAGGCATCTTGAGGGCTGTATTGATACTTTCAGTTCAGCCAGTCTGGCTCAGGAAGGAAGGATTCTCTTTAAATAAATACCTGATTTAAAAACACATCTCAAGGTCAGGCTACAGCTCTCTTTATTCTATGTGAGCTAACGAGCAGCTGTCTTCTCTGAGAAAAGCAAGCAGAAAATGGAACAAATGAAGGTGGTATAGCAGGTTACAGAAGTAGCAATCACACAGTGAATCTTTTATAAGCTCACATAAGGGTCAGCAATCTCGTAAGAGGTTTTGGAAAGCTGATGGTGCTGGGAGCCATGGCTTCTTCAGCGTAGTCCTCATGAGGTGGCATCTTGCTGCTGTGTTACAGCACTTCCCAGAACTGCTTTCAGCAGCAAGGAAAGTTGTGCCTCCCTGTAGGTTGTGAAATGCCAACCACCAAAGGAATTTGAGCTGCCAAAACTATAAACAATCCACATATATGTGAAACAGTTTTGAGAGTTACTCCTTTTAGGTGGTCTACCTTGCAAGCAACAAAAGCTTCCTGCTACCATCTAAAACAACCTTTGAAGCTTCTATTTGTGAGTTGCCCATCTTGAGTGGAGTGCCAATTTTTCTTCAGGTGCCTTCGGGGAAGTCATAGACTTGTGTCTGAAAATTGCTGAAAAAGCTGGATCCAAAGCTGATATTCAACATATGCAAGTTTAGCTCAAATTGTTAAGCTTTGTCAAAGGCACAGCAAGTACATCTCAGAAGCGGAAGCAGTTTGCACCTCAATGAAGACACGGTGCATTGTACCTTGGTTAATCTCTCTGTTGAACAAATGACACACCAGGTTTTAGTGCATTCTCAGCCTGTGCTGCTTTATTGCTAAAAAAATTTGTATACAGGTGCAGAGTTTCCAAGTTCATTTTTAAACAGTTCCTCTTTACAGCGTCAAAAGAATAAAATCTTATCTTGAAATCCTCAAAGATGCATAGATATAAAAGCAAGCTGCCTTTTGGAAAAAAAAAATCAGAATTTGCAGGGAAACATTCTTTTACTGTTACCATGTAAAATGTGTGCAATGGGAGTATGTAGTGATACCAGTAATCTCCACTAGCCCATGTGAGCAATGCCATCAAAAGTTCAGTATAAGAAGTCTTCTCTAACCACTTTAAGTATTAAGATAATTTTTAAGAAACTATTATTAATACTTCTCCTTTGCTGTTGTATTTCTCAAAAGGAGGATATCTTCACTAAAGTCCTAAAATAGCTTACTTCCCCAGGTTTTATATTGAAAGGGATAAGCATTAACAATAGATACAACTGCTTACTCACCACACAAAAGAAAACATGTAACAGGGTTTAAAACCACATGAAGTGTTCAAAAGAATATCCTCTAGGCATTAGGTGGCCATGGTTAACTGCCACGCTAAACCCTTTTTAGAAATAGATTCCCTTTTAGCTTGAAGAAGTTGGCTCAAAGGATTTCATTTAACCTAACTTTGATACTGTAAAATAGTTAAATATTCTCTAATAATATTCCTATCTTCATTTGGCAATTCTTGTATATCTAGAAAGCATTCATGAGAAAAACACAGCCCACATTCTAAACCCAAATCATGGTGCTTTATGGATGCTTGGCTACGAAGCATGATCAAGATTTAACTTGACACACAATTTCTTCCTCCAAGACACTTCCTCTTTCTGCTTAAGAAAGGGGACTGAGCCTCTGTACATGGAGAAGTGTTCTGCACAAGTTAAGCCCACCTACAAAATTAAGCTAAGCTAAAAGTATGGAGTTCTGCAGTAACATGCTAGTATTCTGTGATTGAATACTTTAAACTAGGAAAAGTGTAAGTGACGTAGACACTGCCACACGTTCTATGTTATTTTCAAACTGCCAGCAGAAATTCACTGCAGTACCCACTAAAAGACTTGGAAAATATTACAGAGAGCACAGTAAAAGTTTACGGAAAAATGGCACCCAAATTCCCTTTTATTTAATACGTGAAATAAAGAAAAAAAAGACTATATTGCAACCTGTGTTGCAGAAGATAAAGACCTTCAGTGATCAAATCTCATTTTCTGTTTTTAAAAATCTCTTTGTCAAAGAACTTAAAAAATATACAAGATTACCAGTATTTTCAGGTTCGTTCCTGCAGGTGCCATTATTGCTGGCTGGTACCAGTATGCTTCAGTACAGCTGCCTATGTGGCTAGAGAGTTACCTGAAAATACTGTCTATTAAAAAGCTATTCAACACCTGAAATATTTGTACTGTGCTTATTAATTTCAGTCTTCTCCAAATAATTTCTCTATGCACAAGCTTATCACCTACTGTCTGGCAAATACTACACTCAATTTGAGTCCGTTGTTTCTGTTACCGTGGGTTTTACCAGTTGCTCCCCCCCTGCACCTTGAAAGAAACTCTGCACCCTTTTCCTTGCTACAGCTGCAGCAGGTGAGAAACCTCATCTCGCCCTTAAACATGCTTAGTCCATGCCCTGCTTTTTACATGCTCAGGGCACTAAAATGAACCAGACAAGAGGTTATAAAGGCGAGTTCTGCTGATCCTGGTTCCTGATTTACAGTTTTGGTGCCATGCTTCTGTCCCTATCTATACATTCTGCCCCTTTCTCTACAGAGGCAGCACATTCTCTAAAAAAAAGAAAAAAAAATAACGACAAAAAAAAAACAGTTTGAGAATAAAAGTTTGAGAATCAAAGCAGGAAGTTCAAGCTATTGGTATATTAATTCCTATTGCTTCGTTATGTATAAATGCATATCTCAATTTACTGGTAATAACTACATTACACTAGACATTTTGAATCATGCATAATTAGAATACTAGCTCTAAGATTTGGTTTGTGGGCCTGTGCCACTTTCCTTCAGTTTCTCCATGCACTTCTTTATGCCTAAGGCATCACAAACTGGCCTTCTTTTATTTGACCTGCAAACACACTCGTTTGGAGGGGAAGAGGAAAGAAGCAGATAAGACTTACACAGGACACACTGAACAGTAAGTTACCTTTTATCTTTAACCTTAAATGTAAAGCCTTAGGGAATCTGTCTATCCTATAACCTGGTACATAGGCTCAGAGACGGAAACACGCTCCTTGCTTACGTCACCTACGCTTTCTCTAAAACTCAGGAGATGAGTGCTGAGCAGACTGAAAGGGAATAGAAAGCAGAATTCCTGGGTAGCGTTCTGCACTGTTAAATGAGACACCCTGGTTCGACTGCTGGCTTTTGTGTGCCAGTCAAAGTGCTATAGGGGCAATACGCTGGATCATTCAGTAAAAGAAAAGCAGGGGAATCTAACTCGAACTGCCATTTATGCAGCTCTGTACCTGAACAGCAAGCAGGATTATTAGGTTTTGAAGGAAGACAAAACTCTTTCCTAGGGAAGTTGTTATTGGTAAAATTGGTTATCCATCAAAAACTCTTCTCTTCCACCCTTCTCTGCTCAAAACCACTGTCAGCTCTTGTCAATGTAACCCTTGCATAAAGTGTCCATGTCCTGAAGCACAGTACAATTTGTTGTCACTCACTATCAAGTTGTCTGCAAACCATTTTTTTTTTGGTCCTAAATTTGGTAATTATGCTCAGTTGCAGAAGTTGCAATCCTCAAGCTGCAATTCCCAACGCAAGTACTGGCTAGATCTTCTACAGCAGAACCACTGGGTAAGGGACAGTACCCACACGTATCACCTGCGTTCAGGTTCAGTAATGCCAACGGGGTCATGGCAGTAGTGGTCACTGCACTTTTGATAACCCACACTGCAGTGTGGGAGCATGTAGCACTGCTACTTAGTTTTAGCAGCAGTGAAATCAAGGGGTTTGGAGCAAAAGGCATGCCATAGTATGACAGCTGAAAGGCAATGGGATTTCCTTTGTGGCTGTGAATACTGATTTCTAATATAGTACCCCATGGAATTCAGATCACTATTAAATCTGAACTGGGAAGAATACGCAGATAGCTCGCCTGGTTACATCAGTCTCCATTTCCCTTCCTACCCCCTTCTCTAAATGAATAAAGCCTTGAAAATTTCTACTCAGCCACAAAGTTCATACTTTTGAAGTCTGAACGTGACCATGTTTTCATTATTAATTCATTATGTAAATGTACTTGCTGACCACAGACTACAAGAAAGTTATAATTTATTTAATGTAATCAGATCACAATCAAATTAAGGTTCCCTGTGGCCAGCTTCCAAGTTTATCAATAATGCAATAGCTGGAATTTAAGCTGATTATAATTTTCCAGATCAGTTAGCTTTTCATACACATATTAGCCTACACTTAATTTAGATATGCTCATGCTTATCTTAATTACATTATGCTGTAGAAACACTCACAGCCCTTACTAGTCCCACTATCAACTTACAAAGAGCCAGAAGGCTTCACCTATGGAATTTCAGAACATCAGAGGCTTCCCTTCAGCTGGAAGTTACATTCCAAACTCCTTCAACTTTCTAGAAGAAATCTAGCCAGATAGATCTAAACTTCTGATGTAACACTTCTGTTAGGAACACACTATTATCTGCTGGGCCATGCTGTCTCTACAGACCACCTATCTGCACGGAAAACA